TCTCTCTCTCTCTCTCTCTCTCTCTCTCTCTCTCTCTCTCTCTCTCATATTCTCAAAGTTTGTCATCACAGACAGGTTTAATAGAATTCTTCAGTAACTAGAAATTTTATTCATAATCTATTGACTTTGAATACAGTCTAAAATATTTAGCAGGTACTTTCAAGGATGAAATAGGAAGTTCTTCATGCTCATAGTCCTAAAAACAAGAGTATAGATTACAATATGCATACAGAGCATATTGAAAGCAACATATGCAGACAGAGCCTGGGTCTGGGACTACGCCATCCTTCCCACAGGGCTGGGAGTGTTGCTCTTCTTGCTTAAAAACTGGGGGAAACTGCCATCAATACAACAATCCCAGGATCATAGGTTCTGGGGTCTGGACAGAGTGGTGTGGGCAGCATATGTAGCCAGCAGGTCTTTGGTCTGGGTTTCCAGACACTACAGTGCGTCCCCAGAAGCCTCGTCTCAGCTGACCTCAGACAGAAGAGGCACCATTTGGTAGGAAGCCCAAGGGCTCTTCTGATCTTGCCTCTCTATACATTTCCCTCTTGATCTGATCTCTGCCACTGGGGAAGGCACAGCTTCAAGTCCCTGATCATCAGAGAATGTTCCCAGCTTCTGTCACAATTTGGCTTGGTGTGGTTGGGAATCCATCCAGAGATAGCAACAGATCCCAATCTGATCCACACACAGGTCCAGGAGCAAAGACCTTGGAGCCAGGTCCTGCCATGCTGTACAGATAACTACTCCTAAGAGCAGCTCTTGACCTGCTGCTATGGAGGCAGGCCAGCAGAGGAGAGATTTTAGTATCCTGCATGTATAATAAACCAAGCTATATCTTCCAGGAACTAACCTACTTACCATTTTATACCTCTGCATAATTGGGCATGCATATGATTAAAATCAGATGTATTATAGGAAGGGACATTCTCTGTAGGAAAAGTAAATATATATGACCTAATCTATCAATCAAAACAGAGAACTGCCCACTTGACATCCTTAGTAACCAAACTCCTCCTTCTCTGGAGCCCCATGTAAGGACACATTGAGAACTCTCCTATGTGGCCCACTTGAGAGTGTATCCCTTTTGAATCTAAACTATGGATTTGAGCCAATGAAATTATCTTGCTTCCTTTGCAGATAGATCTGTATAAACTCTTAATTTTCAATTTTTGGATAAGCCTAGAACCTGGAAACACCTGACCCAGCCCCTGACAATGGTAACACTGGGACTTGACAGAAATGGAATGTCAGATCATTGCTAAGCTACCACAAGCCCTGAGCTGCCCATCGTGAACTGGGTGTTATCTGGCAAAAGTGGCCGCACACAACAGTACCTCGTCATCAAATGAACATGGTGTACTCCACAACACTGAACTCAAGACTCAGCAACACAGACTTCCATTCACCAAGGCCAGTCTGGCTCCAACCTCTGCACAGCCTAGGCATCACAATGGGCACCATTCATGAGTCTTACAGAAGCTTCATGATGCAGCAGGTTCCACAGAACAGTTCTGGAAACTTGCTAACAGTGCCAGGGAGGTGACAGTATCTTGCAAGTTTCTCCAGGACTCTGTAGATACTCAAAACTAGCAACCCATACAAGTAGTACACCAGGTCATGCTAGTCCAGGGCCAGAAGGATGGCCACATAAGCAGAAACCATGCAAAGTAACTTCAGTAATTAACAGGCAAGACTGGGATTCTCCCATAAACCCTTAGAAATGTTTGTTAACCTATCAAAACCTCTATTCAGGATGTAAATTATAGCAAAATAAAAAGCTAACAAAATAAGCACTCATTTAGCACATTTGGTATAGACAATGGTTCTTAATGGCCCCTGAGGTTTCTCACCCCAGTTCTTGCGCCAAAGACTGAGTCGTCACCTGACATTATACCACTACAGAAGAGATTCTAGGTTTGTAACAAGTCATTCAGATGGGAGTAACTCACGCATCTAACCTGATCACATGACATATTTAGAAGCAGAACTATTTATTTGCTGCACCAAAGCTCTTTGGCTGGTGGCAACCTCACTGCCCATTTCTCCCCACTCCCATGCTTTTGGAGCTACATCCAAAGAAACACAAATACCACAGAGCTTTGGCATCTATGATAATTAATAAAGAAATAACTCACAGATTAGGAAACATTGTTTGTAAAGCACACAGATGATGAGGGGATAAATAACCAAAATACATGTGGAACACAGACAATTCAACAGCAAGTAAACGAATAATCCAATTTTTAAACCGGCGAAGGATTTAACATATGCTTTGCAAATGAATATAGACAAAAGTCTGATGCTGATATGGGGGCAGCATTCATCACAAATCACTGGAGACATACCAACTAAAACCATAATGAGATGCTCATGCCCGGCTAGAGTGACTTCTCAAGTGACAAGTGACAACCACAGGGGCGGGAATGTACATTAGCACAACCATTGCAGAAAACAGAATGGAGATCTGTCCTCAGACTAAGAACAGAACTGCCATGTGAGCCAGTAATCCTCCCACTAGCTCTACATCCAAAAGAAAGAAATCAATATGACGAAGAGGAGACAGGCGGTGTAGCTAGCAGGGTGCTTGTCTGGGATACACAAATTCCTGAGTTCCACCCCCAGCACTGCATGAAACAAGGTGTGGATCACACGCCTGGAACCCCAGAACTCAAGAGGTAGAAGGAGGAGGTCCAGAATTTCCCTGACTGCAGGGAAAGTTGGAGATCTCTCTGGGATACAGGAGATTCTCTCTCAGAAAATAAAGTGAAGGCGAGGCTGGTGTTCTCCCAAGTTCATTTCAGCACTACTCACAGTAGCCAAGATGGAGTCAACCGAACCCACAGTATCCTGCTGATCGATGGGCAGACAAAGAAGAGCGGAGTACCATTCAGCCTCATAAAAGAAGCAAATCCTCCCAATTTGTACCACCAAACATTGGTAAACCTGGAGGAAGTTACTTTAAGTAAAGAAAACCCCGGGCAGAAATACACTGCATGATCTCACTTGGGTGTGGCATCGAAGACTCAAATTCACAGACGTGGAGTGAAGAATGGTAGATGCCAGAAGATCGGGTAAGGAGTTCACGGGAGAATGCTGCAAAATTTCGGTTAGATGGGAAGAATGAGGTTGTGAGACGGACCGCACAGTACAGCAGCTACAGTGAATGGCAATGTATTACAGGCTTCAAAACTGATCTCAGGACAAAACAAACAAAAAAGCCACTGTGTGTGAATAACAAATATGTTCACTTGCTTGAATTAATCATTCTGCAACATAAAAATAGCATCATATTGTGTCCAATAAATATAGTTGATAACTATTTTTAATTAAAAATAAAAATGTAAGGAAAAAAATAAAAGAGCTTTTTCTGGATGGTGGAAGGAAGGAAGATGGAGTGGACTGCTAGAAAGGGTCGCTGTGCCACTGAGGGTTTGGAGGAGGGCGCAGCAGCAGCCAGCAAGGAAAGGATGAGTCTCACAACTGCCCGGAACTGAATTCTACCAACCAGAATGGACCTGGCGTCAGTCATTCCCGCAGCCTCTTGAGACGCCGCGGCACCTGCTCTTAGATATCAAGAGACATATAGATAGATGGACTACACTCTCTAGAGCTGGGAGCTCACAAGCAGCGATGTTGTGTGTCTGTTGGCTGTGGCTATCTCAGGAAGCAGCGGGAAACGGAGATGACTTTGACATGCTGTTCATCAGTCAGGGATGCTTTAGGAAGAGTCTGTCTTGGCAACTGTCAATAGCGTGGCAGTGAGTACCGGAGTCCAGTCGCCTCCTCATGCTGACTTCCTTTCTCTGGGAAGGACTTCAGCAGTAGGAACAAATGGGAAAATTTCCAAGGAGCAAGGTAGAAAAGGTGTCCTTGCTTTACCTCTCCTGGGTCTGCAAACCACAGACTCCAGTCCAGAGGCTGACACCAGCCTCATCACAGTCAGGTCCCTGTCCAGATGGATATGCACATCATCCATGTTCTGCTCCTCTGAGTGCACCCGGTGGAGGCTGACACCCCGAGCAGGAGGCTAATGGATCTTTTGAATGACTTGGAGAGCAGAGTCTCCTGTTCTAGGTGCATGATCCTGTCTGGTAGATGTAAGCTGGGACTGCTATCATATTGTGGCCTCCTCAAGGGAGGCCAGCATTGGGCCACTACTAGCACTAAGCGGCAGAGAGACTGTGCAAAATGAAACAGTCATCTGGCTTGAAGCAACCCTGGGTTCTTCCTCCAGTCCTCTCTGTCCCGTGCTCAGTATTGAGCCTGTGAATGTACTTAACGAACTAAGTAGGAAGTGAGTTGTCTTTAGGAACTGGGGCCAATGCAACTGTCCCCATGGCCACTGTGGAGGAAAGTATATCTAAGCTGTCAATGCCATAGTCTCCTTGGAGATATATCCCAGAAGCTGTCCCTAGTCCTACCTGTGTGGCTGCCCATGCTGGATTCTCTCCTGCTTGCTGACCTGCCGGTTGTCCCCGCTCCCCCGGCCTCTATCCCACAACTATTCCCACAGCCTCCGTACTAGCCTAATCATCCCCCAAATGAAGTGTAGAGCCCAGCACAGCCCAGAGGACACCAGGCATCATGCACCGCTTTAGTTCATCCACCCTGACCTGGTGCACCTTTCTGGGAGCTGAGTCCCCCCCCAGCCCCCCCCTCAGGCCCCCCCCCTTCCCGCCTCTGCTCCAGCTGAGAGCAGGTTCCTCTCTGTTTCCCATGTGTCAGCTGGTTTGAATCCAGGCACCAGAGAAGGCCAACCTCTGAAGCTTTGGGAGCTGCCGCTTCAGAAACACCCATTTAGGAAATCCTCCACGCTGCTCTTTGGTGAGGCTGGGAGTGGGCAGGGGAGGCCAGCTGACTTGACTGTTAACATCCAGGAGTTGTTATTCTGGCCTGAGTCCCCATCCAGGAGTGCAGCTGTGTTTTCACAGGGGGTGGTTTCGGGCAGGCCATCATCACAATTCGGTCTCCCAGGACATGCAGACTACAGCGCTGGGTGGTGTTTGGGCTTGAATATTAGTTTTTTAGGCAAGATGTTAGGTCATGAAGACAGTGGTATGACTCTGCCCGGGGGAACTGGGGTCCCCTGATGAGCTGTTGGGTGGGGCTCCAGGGGCTCTGTGTTCCCCAGCTATGCTGTGGGGTACTGTCTGCACACACACACACCCCCGGCCCTGTGCCACCCACGCACACACAACTTCACACTTCTTGCATGTATTGTGCTGTTTGCACACCATCACGTAGACATACTGGCTCCCATCGATGACAGCTTTGAAAATTACGATCCTGATGCCGTGCTTTCGTTGAAATTCTATGACAAAGGCAATACTGTTTGAAGCCGGAAATTTCAAACTAAATGTCACTCAACCTATGGGAGCCAACAAGCTGTAAATGTAGTCTTAATATAGAGTATTTTTTAAATTAGAAAAAAAAAAAAAAGTCAAGATGTGCCTGGGAATAATGATGGCGTTAAGTGAGTGAGACTGGACTAAATCCTCTCAGGGGGTTGCAGTTTTCAATAATTATACAAAAGTAAACCTAAGTCTAACATCACCAGTCGGGAGGGGTGTGCTGGAGATGGGGTACTGGGAAATGGGCTGAGCCTATGAGAAAAGGTCCCAGGGCCAAGAGAAACAGAGCTCTAAGAGGCAATGAGTGGGCAAGAATATGATGCTCAGCCTTTGTTCCAAAGACCCAAACTGCACTTGAGTGTCAGGGTCATGACAGCAAAGAGAGCCCACCTGGACCACGCCCACCTTAGACCACTAGCATGGACGCACAAGAAACAAACTATCCTGGACTCTCCAACCAAGTTGCAAAGTCAATGCTTCAAGGTCCTTGTCCATCAATACTTACCACCCACTGACTGTGCCAAGAAGGCAGCCCCCCAAAACACTGCATAGGGCACAGTATACTGGACTTCACCAGCACCTGTCACGTGGGCAGGTATCTTCTACTTGCCGCTGAGAATGAAGGATGGCACCACTTTGCCACGAGTCTACACATAGAGTACTCAGGTACGTGAGTCTTGGACACAGACTCACATACCCAGACACCTGTAGAAGACACACAAACATACCTGGACCCGCGTGATGTGCAGGTACAGGATACAGGCCACCAAGAAGCAGATCGAAAACACCAGCAGCAGCAGGACAGCCACACTCCTGGAGACAGAGGACACAGGTCACCGTTAGGTGGGAGCTAGGTACGATGTATCAGATAGGTGCCTCAGAGCTGGGCCTCTCTTCCAGGCCCCCAGAACCTCACAAGGAAGCATTGCATTATTCACTTGTCACGGGCCCTGGGGACTCACTTCACCTGGTTCTCTCCTAGTGAAGACACTTGGGCCTCCTGGGTGAGGTTCCCAAGACCATCCTCATCCATACTACCTCACCCCAAAGTTCAGCCTTGGCTTCAGGTCACATGACTTTCTGAAAGACCTTTTGTCCTAATGGAGGAAATGTTCAACTTCATGGAGCTGTACTATTGATATTTGTCTGGGAAAGATGTTTCTAGAAAAAAAAAAAAAAACCATAACCCCTAGACAAAACCATCCAGTAGACTGCCAAGTTCACAGCTGTCTGCGCAGCCCACAGCCAAGGCTTCCTGTTCGTAACAGGTATAGAGAACTTCTATGTGCTTTCTGAAAATTCTAAGGAGATGTTGTGCCCTCAAGGTAGGTCCTACTAGGAAACAAGGGCCCAAAGAAAAGGATACCTGGAGACTTCCTGGTGTCTTCCTGGACCCAAACAAAAACTCCAAGCCTATAAAGACTCATATGATGGTTAACTGTCATTTCAATCACTAGAGTTTCTTCCTTTGTAGTGTTGACTTTTTTTTTTCATTTTAATGTTTTTTAAAGTGATGTGGACCCAGAAAGCAGAAAAGCTACGTGGTTTCCTCAGAAGCCCCTCTGAGGACAAAAAAGTGCATGCCACATGAATGAAGAAGCCAAAACAACAACAAACAAACAAAACCCAAAAAACAAACAACAACAACAACAACAACAAAAACAGAAAGCCTTGGAGTTCAACAAATGAAAAACTAAAAACAGTGACGATGCTGTATGCCAACAGGCTTGTCAAAGTACTGACTGGAGTGTAGAAAGAAGGAAGGCCGGTGGCCGGTGCCCTCCTCAAATGCCAGGCACAACAGAAGAGTGACTGGGACGTGGATCTCTAGCACATAAGGACACCCAGGTCCAACCCCAGGGTTTGGTTTCAGAGTGACATGGGTTGGAACACTTGGTCCCCGGACAGTGGCACTCTCTGGGTAGGCTGCCAACAACCACTTCAGGATGTGGGGCCTCACGGGAGGAAGTGAGTCCCAGAGGATGGGCCTCGAGTCACACACACTCCACGTCTAGATCCATCCTGACGTCAGCTAACAGCCTCAGGCTCCTACCACCAAAGCTGAAAGTCTCTCCTGATGTCACATTTCCCGTCATGATGAACTGTAGCTTCAGACCGGGAGCCCAAATCAGCCCTCCTTCCCTTCAGCCAGTCACAAAAACAAGAAAAATAACCAGTACCCGCGGAGACCTGGGATTCTTGGTCACCTTCCCCTTATCACTGACTGGCTAGCGCGGGAGCAGCACTTACTGTGGAATTATCAGAAGGTAGACAAGCCCAAATAAGGCAGCCAGGATGAGGGCGAGGACAACAGCGCTGGTGAAGTACTCATCCTGAAGCTGGTGGTACTGTGGGGGAGGGGGGAGAGGGAGACGGGAGAAGGAGGAGGGAGAGAAAGAGAGAGAACAAGAGATTGATCAACCCACCTCGAAGACACAGAGTCCTGGGGGACATGGACAAGGATGGAGCCCCCAGCCACGTACTTTTTGCTCTCGTTCAACATGTTTGTACTTCAGGGTAAAGAAGTTCAGGTCTGCCATCTCCAGCTCTGTCTGGCGGGCTTCAAGAAGACGGCTGATGTACCTGTTGACACGTGTGCCCGGGGTGGTGTAGACCACGTTGGTAGAGAAAGATGAGCGGTTTCTGAGCTTCTCCGAGGCTGTTCTCAGTGCCCTCCGCTGTAGCCGCCACAGAAATAGAGAAAATAGCATCAAATGCTCCACCCTTTGAACAAAAGCACCCAAGTACCCTTGATAGTCAGCCATCCCTTATCTGCTGCAGTCTGGGCTAGGTTCAGAACGCTGAGACACTGTCATAGCGCTGCCCCTGCTGGCCAGAGTTAGCAAGGGCGGTGTCCTAACACCCAATATTCAGGTTCCCAGGTCTGTATTGCAAATTACAGAATGCCTGTTTGGTATCAGTGTAGAGAGGGCTGTGGGATTCGGTAACAAATATGCTCAGGATAAGCAGCCACCTGTACCCACTATCCCACACACGCAGGAAGGCTTCGTGGTGGATGGAGTAACCACCTTCACTCAGAAGCCCACATATGTAGGAAGGGGAGCCTGGAAGGCAGATCTAGTCTTTGCCTTTGAGGGAGGAATGGGGAGAAGTGACAGGTAGCCTGGGCTGGAAGGACCAGAGTGTGAGCCCCTGTCCTGTACATCACATGGCAGGTGTAAGAAGATACCAGATTGAGGAAAGGAAAGCAGTCCAATCCAAGGCACCTGCTGTGGTCTCACAGTCAAGGATTCAGAGCGGGGACTCTGATACTGCCCACATCTCATCAGAAGACAGACTGCTAAAATACTACAGTGCAGCTGCAGAAAGGATGGAATGAACAGACTCCTCCGCACTCCAATAAAGCAGCAAAACACAGATAATACACACAAAATTAACACAAGGCTCTGAAAGGTGGAGAGGGAGAGTGGACTTTCAGAACTCTGGGACGCAAAGAGGAACTGTATGTGACAAGGGGTCCCATGGGGCATCTTTCGTCACATCTACCCCAGACCAGGAGCTAGAGGAGCCACAACTGGAAATGTCAATGGGTGCAGGGGCCATGAGGAAAGCTATGGTCTCTTGGCCAAACAATCAAGAACGGTAAACCATAAAAGTAGAAATAACCACACAATGGCAGCCAATGACCATGTGAAAGTCTATTTGCCAAGAATCTCCAACTTCTCAGTTATACCAAACTTAGCCTACTACCTCAACCTACATAACAAAACGGCACCCCACTGCATTGTGTCAGGTCAGAGGACCTGAGGTATCCAAAGATAGCAGAAGCAAAAGCCCCTTGGCAGATCACCTTGATCCACACTCAGAAGTATTTCCTAAAATACAACATCTAGTTATTACTCAAAAAAAAAATGTAAACACTAACTTGCAGGGACCACTTCCGGTTAGTATTCCTAGCTCAAACACCATGAAGAATGGTAAAATCTTATGCATCTTCATTAAGAGTCAGAATGAGATAGAATGCCCAGCCTTATTACTATCATCTAGCTTAATTATTAGATGGAAAAGAAGAACAATAGCCCTGCTTAAAGTACATATTATTACTGACCAAGATAATTTAAAAAGTCACTGCAATTGGTTTCAATTAGTGTAGACCAAACAAGCTAAATGTTATCCTCAGTAAATTCATGTAGATGACAATCATCCCTCATCGTTTTTATACAAAAGGCTCAGGAGAGACCTGTCAAATTGCGGACAGACCGGAAACAGGGAAGGAAACACAGTGTCCCACACACTGGCAATACTCCAAGCCTTGCTAAGTCCCCACGCTGAAGCGGCTGGAGAAGGCAGGGTTTACACACACCACAGCCAGAACAAGATGCTTGGGAGAGCCCAGGTTGGCAGCGGCAGTCCAAGATTAAAACAGCACTCTGTTAGAGCAGCCGTCTCCCCAACCCCAGGCTATCCTTGCACTGTTCACTAAGATGCCCATGAAATTAGATGTGCCCAGCACCCATGAACATGATACCCAGAAATAAAGTCCCTGTTTACCAATAAGCGGCTTAGGGAAGTCAGGCCTGTGCCCACACCTGGAGGCCATTCAGCCACAAAGAAAAGGCTGGGATTTGTGTGGGCCTCCAAATGCCTAAGGCGTTTCTGGGGTAGAAAAAGCTCAGTTCATACAGTTACCACCTGCTTCCCACACAAGCTGATTTCCAGAAGAAAACAGAAAATGAGGAGCAATCCAGAACACTTGATTTCTATATCACCCACACAAGTGGCTTTCATGTTGCTTTAAATTGATAAGCTTAGATTTAAAGCAGCACACACACACACACACACACACACATACACACACACACGAGAGAGAGAGAGAGAGAGAGAGAGAGAGAGAGAGAGAGAGAGAGAGAGAGAGAGAGTCAGTCAGTCAGAGACAGACAGACAGACAGACACAGACAGAAAGAGACAGAGAAACAGAGAGAATGAATATGGGGAGGTTTCTGAGTGTAGAACAGAGGAACAAATACGTTTCAAAAATCAGAAGATAAGACTAAAGAAGGCCCCCATGCTGGTGTGGCCCCTCGACAGTCACTGCTGGTCATGGCGTCATAATCTCTGATCAGTGCCAAGTGCACAGCCCATACTCGCCAGGCATAGTATTTACAGAATGCCCAGGGATGAAACTGTACTTTCACAAACAAAAGTACCACGACCTGCTTCAGTCAATAAAAACAGAAAAGCTCCAAATATCAATGCCACATAAACCATCTCTCCTTAGGTTTAAAAATCTACGCCAAGCCTGAAAACTCAGACTGAGGGATAGTTCATGATGCAAATACAACCGCATGATACAGCGAGGCAAGAGAAGGAGAGACAGGCAGCCGAACTGCATCTGCGACACAATGAAGCTCCTTAAAGAATCCCCAGGTCCCACACTTGGGACACCGAAGGGGTCAGAGTGCCAGGTCTTACCTGGGGGTGGTGGGTGACAAATGCTTTTCATTTCTTTTTCTTGTGCATTTATGTGTTTGGGGATGTCATCCATAACGAATACCTCCGTGGGCAGGAAAGTCTCCAAAGGACAAATAGAAGGGGTGTAAATGTGTTTGGGGGCTGGGGTACACCGTCAGGACTCATCCCTGAGGTGCTACCAACAACAGTGGTGAGAACTCAAAACCGCAAGCATGGTGGAAGAGACACGGCACAGGGGCTCCGGCCAGGCTGGGGTCGGGGTGTCGTTAAAAGGAAATTATTTCAGTGACACTTTGCTAGAACACAGTGGGGCAGGCTTCCTACAAGACCTTGCAGAAGGTGCAGAGGCCATGACAACGGGCTCTTGGATTCAACTCTGACCGTAGCACAGCAGCTGGGACTGGACAGTCAAGGAGGAAGGAGGGCTCTGTGGACAGACAACTACTCAGAGCAAACATCAGAGGTCAGAGCATTCTGGCTCAAGTGACCAGGATGCCTGCTGAAGGTTGCTCTGGGTGATCACACGTCTCCAGGACGGGATGGATGGGATGAGGAACCTACCAGACATTGAAGGTGATGAGAGATTAAGGGCAGGGAGATTCTTGCTAAGACAATTAACACTGCCTCCTGAGTGGTGTGTGTGTGTGTGTGTGTGTGTGTGTGTGTGTGTGTGTGTGTGTGTGAGAGAGAGAGAGAGAGAGAGAGAGAGAGAGAGAGAGAGAGAGA